GTGAAAACACACACGCACACACACACTCCTGTCCACAGCAAGAGAACAAGCAGGTCTTTATCATCTGCAGGTGGCTTTGCCCCAGTGCATGATGGGATGCTGGAGGTGATGAGTCACTCAAAGGGTGTATGTACATGTTTGGGAATTCACATCCAGACTGTAGTCAGTGTGTGTGTGTGTGTGGGTGTGTGTTACTGTAAAGAGGGGAATTTTAGTCTGCGGTTCAGAGCATGTGCAGGCCTGCTGGTCACACACATGCTCTTCTGCCCCTTCTCTCTCTCGATATATATATATATATACTGTATATATATATATATACACTGTCTGTTTCATCTTTTCCTCTCTTTCTCCCCATGTTAATGTATATTTTATGTGCTTCACAGGTAACACAAACAACTTTACTGAGTCTGACTGCAAGGCCAAAGTGAAATGAAAATAGTGACAAATAAACTGTCGAGTAAATCTGTGAGTCGGTTCAAGTGAATCACTGGCTAGAAATAAATATTTCCAACAGCTCTCTGTGACTGAATGCTATGAGTCCTCCTGAAGACTAAAGTCTTGAGCAAATAAGTATGAGAGAAAGAGAAAAAATGAGAGTGAATGAAATATCATAATGACTCTCTGTGTTGGTGTATGTGAGTGTGTGTGGGCCGAGGGCTGCGGGACGCTGGGGGCGGACATACACTTACCTTTATAATTGTAAAGGTGAACAAATGATAGAATGAATAGATGGATGGATGATAGATAGATAGATAGATAGATAGATAGATAGATAGATATTTGTGGGTTTTCCCCAATGCATGATGGGATATTTTAGTGGTTATAGTGCTGAGGTTTGAGTAGTTGGTGGTGTGTAATGAAATCTTGCATCATCAACTGTTATCATGACACTCAGCACTCTTGTTTCTTCTCAGCGGAGCACAAAAAACAATTACAGCTGTGATTACCTGCACAGATTCAGCACAGCAGCACCACTGCCAGCGTGATATTGCTTTCATACACCGCCTCTATAAATAAGAACTTGATACAGAGCACCCGACATTACGCGTATGCCACATGTATGCCACACATGGCTAAATAAATCATTATTTAGTATTTAAATAAATGCAAGAAAGAACAGCAATTACAACTCAGCATGCAAAAAATCACTACATCCCTGTCAATTACAGTGCAGTGGGGGATTTTATCAAAGACTTTATACTTTAAGAAGTTTAAGATTAAATTACAATAAACAAATAATAATAATAATTAAAAAAAACATCATACCTAAGGCTGAAATTATCCACAAAACTGTGCAGAGTAAAAAAACAACAGGAATCTCAATCAGTGCTGCAGGGACAATAATAAAATACAACAAAAGGATTAGAATGAATTAATGACTGAATAAACAATAGACCTAGACCTAATTATAGACCTAATGATCCGATCTGAAAAACAAATAAATTTTTTGTGCATTGAGAACAAAGCCTATGTGTCTTTCTTGCTCCTTTCCTGAAGCTGTGAAAACACACACGCACACACACACTCCTGTCCACAGCAAGAGAACAAGCAGGTCTTTATCATCTGCAGGTGGCTTTGCCCCAGTGCATGATGGGATGCTGGAGGTGATGAGTCACTCAAAGGGTGTATGTACATGTTTGGGAATTCACATCCAGACTGTAGTCAGTGTGTGTGTGTGTGTGGGTGTGTGTTACTGTAAAGAGGGGAATTTTAGTCTGCGGTTCAGAGCATGTGCAGGCCTGCTGGTCACACACATGCTCTTCTGCCCCTTCTCTCACTCGATATATATATATATATATATATATATATATATATATATATATATACACTGTCTGTTTCATCTTTTCCTCTCTTTCTCCCCATGTTAATGTATATTTTATGTGCTTCACAGGTAACACAAACAACTTTACTGAGTCTGACTGCAAGGCCAAAGTGAAATGAAAATAGTGACAAATAAACTGTCGAGTAAATCTGTGAGTCGGTTCAAGTGAATCACTGGCTAGAAATAAATATTTCCAACAGCTCTCTGTGACTGAATGCTATGAGTCCTCCTGAAGACTAAAGTCTTGAGCAAATAAGTATGAGAGAAAGAGAAAAAATGAGAGTGAATGAAATATCATAATGACTCTCTGTGTTGGTGTATGTGAGTGTGTGTGGGCCGAGGGCTGCGGGACGCTGGGGGCGGACATACACTTACCTTTATAATTGTAAAGGTGAACAAATGATAGAATGAATAGATGGATGGATGATAGATAGATAGATAGATAGATAGATAGATAGATATTTGAAAGTGGGTTTTCCCCAATGCATGATGGGATATTTTAGTGGTTATAGTGCTGAGGTTTGAGTAGTTGGTGGTGTGTAATGAAATCTTGCATCATCAACTGTTATCATGACACTCAGCACTCTTGTTTCTTCTCAGCGGAGCACAAAAAACAATTACAGCTGTGATTACCTGCACAGATTCAGCACAGCAGCACCACTGCCAGCGTGATATTGCTTTCATACACCGCCTCTATAAATAAGAACTTGATACAGAGCACCCGACATTACGCGTATGCCACATGTATGCCACACATGGCTAAATAAATCATTATTTAGTATTTAAATAAATGCAAGAAAGAACAGCAATTACAACTCAGCATGCAAAAAATCACTACATCCCTGTCAATTACAGTGCAGTGGGGGATTTTATCAAAGACTTTATACTTTAAGAAGTTTAAGATTAAATTACAATAAACAAATAATAATAATAATTAAAAAAAACATCATACCTAAGGCTGAAATTATCCACAAAACTGTGCAGAGTAAAAAAACAACAGGAATCTCAATCAGTGCTGCAGGGACAATAATAAAATACAACAAAAGCATAGAATATGGCTCCTTTCAACTCGTTTTGTGGCCTAATTAGGCCAGAATAGACACTTACTAAGAGCACTTATTGTGTAGACAGACTTCTTAATTATAATGAGAGCAATTTAGTGATTTTCAACACATCACAGCATGACGCTCTAAAGCTGCAGGCTATTTACATATTACAAACTATTTACATATATGTATTTACATTTTATTTTAAATACAACTTAATTATAAAGAATAATTACATATTAGCACATTGACTACCTTATAACAGCTTCAAATATGTCACATCTTATCAGTTACATACTGTTGGTATTACTAAATTGAGTCTTGTTTAGAAGTATTTTTATGGAATAAAAAAAGTGTTTATGGAATTTTCATCTCACAATTCTGACTTTTTTTCCTCACAGTTGTGAAATGTAAACGCAAATAAATTATGAAACATAAATAAATACTTTTTTGAATCAAGTTTTCATAGTTTTTACACTGACAGACTTAATATTTACTTGTTGCATCTCATCTGATCTTTTGGTTTGCTTTCAGTATGCTAAATAAATAGATAAATAAATAATTAAAAAAAAAAAAATTTAAATATGACTTTTGAAATTAAAATTAGGTCGTAAAAACATGTCAAATATCATTAGCACATGGTTGTGTAATGTGCAAACTATTTTTGGGTTGAACTCAACCAAAAAATAACTAGATCATGATGTATACCATTATTATGACATACAAATGACAGATTTTGGTCATACTGTACCCGCCTTATTTCACAAAAATAAGTTTAAGAAAACATCCCTCACTGAACTGGTTTTCTTAAAGCCTCGTTCTCAAACCTCTAAAGCAACACATTTATTAGGTTTATGTTCCATCTCCTTCGCTTATGATTGCACTGAAGTACTTAAGATCAACCACAGCAGCTTATTCATCACAGATAATACAAACATCCACAAACACACTTGAACGTCACGCTAAAGAGCTCCTGTGAACTTCAAGAACCTATTATGCCCTTAAAAGAGGCTTCCAGTTCCTCCCAAAATGCATCCGGTTTACTGGCCCGCTTTCTTTCACCAAACAATACGTGTACAGCGTACGGCTAGCATTACGTGTAAATTATCTGCACTGGCTGTAAAGCGTGAGGAAACAGTATCTGTGCGGAGGGGAAGAGAGAATGAAAGAGAGAAAACTGAACAGCAGTTGTGCTCTACAGTACTGCTGTGATTTCTCTCTCTCTCGCCGATTACAGAGGAAACAGGAGAACCGACACACACACACACACAGTGCTCCAATGGAGAGAAACACTGATCAGGACAAACATGACACCTTCAAACACATTCATAAACACAAATAAACACACGCTTTTCTACAGGAGTGAGTCTATACATGTGGCATGTGATCTTTGCCATTCGGTGAACTAAACTATACCACAAACCACAACAAAACTTCCATTTCAGATGCAAAATTCTCATTGAATACACAATTCTCTCATTTTAGATGCATATCGCATAAGTCTACAAAAATGCATAGTTCTCACATTTTAGATGCATAATTCTCATTAAATGCACAATTCTCTTATTTTAGATGCACAAGTCTAAATAAATGCATAACTCTCCCATTTTAGATGCATAATTCTCATTAAATGCACAATTCTCCCATTTTAGATACATAACTCTCATTTTAGATGCATAGTTCACATTAGATGCATAATTCTCATTACATGCACAATCCTCACATTTTAGATGCATAATTCTCAATAAATGCACAATTCTCTCATTTTAGTTGCATAATTCTAAATAAATGCATAGTTCTCCAATTTTAGATGCATGATTCTCATTAAATGCACAATTCTCCCATTTTAGATGCATAATTCTACTTAGAAATATGTTGATAAAAATTATTTGTACACTCAGTGCTGGACCAACAGGCCAAATGGACCTCTGCTGACAGCAATGACACGAAGCAAGCTTTAGACATACACTACACAACAGCGCACTGGTGTCAGCAGAGGTCCATCTAGTCTTTTGGTCCAGCAGTGACTGTACAAATCATGAACATATTTCTGAGTAGAATTAAGCATTTAATTAGAATTATGCATCTACAAAGGGACATTTATGCATTTTGTGTGTGTGTGTGTCACTCACCACAGGAGCAGCAGGTGAAGCAGTTTGTATGATACAGGTTCCCCATCGCCTGACACGCTTGACTCGCTCCATACACACCTTTACCACACTTTATACAGATACCTGGAAGAGACAGACACACAGACAGCTGTCAGGATCACAGACGGGTGTGTTCTGTGTGGAGGAATCATAGACTGTAAAAAAAGATGGACGACGCGTCTCCATTTCCTTCCACTATAGAAAAGTGAAGCCAAAACTTTCTCAGTATGGCCGCTGTCATCTTGTGAAAACGACGTCATGTGGAGCCAGTCTGTGCAGTAGAGATCGTGAGGTGGAGCCGCGGTATCAAAGTCCCGCCCAAACTCCCGCAGTCCCATATAAAGTGGGTACGGAAAGTATTCAGACCCCCTTAAATTTTCCACTCTTCGTTATAAATTTAAGGGGGTCTGAATACTTTCTGTACCCACTGTATATGCTCTGAGAGTCACTTCATAAGCATTTTACAGTTTGATTTGAATAAAACTAGCATCATATCATATAGGAACTTAACACACAGGAATTTAAAGTTAGGTTCCTTTGACCTCATGATTCTCATTTGTTCTGACATGCACTGTGAGCTGTAAGGTCTTATATAGACAGGTGTGTGGCTTTGCTAATCAAGTCCAATCAGTATAATCAAACACAGCTGGACTCGAATGAAGGTGTAGAACCATCTCAAGGCTGATCAGAAGAAATGGACAGCCCCTGAGTTAAATATATGAGTGTCACAGCAAAGGGTCTGAATACTTAGGACCATGTGATATTTCAGTTTTTCTTTTTTAATAAATCTGCAAAAATGTCAACAATGCAGTGTTTTTCTGTCAGTATGGGGTGCTGTGTGTACATTAATGAGGAAAAAAAATTAACTTAAATGATTTTAGCAAATGGCTGCAATATAACAAAGAGTGAAAAATTTAAGGGGGTCTGAATACTTTCTGTACCCACTCTCTGCTCTGAGAGTCACTTCATAAGCATTTTACAGTTTGATTTGAGTAAAACTAGCATCATATCATATAGGAACTTAACACACAGGAATTTAAAGTTATGCACGGCAACCCGTCAAAATAAAGTTAGGTTTAACTTGAAGACACTGTGCCAGAAATATATTACTATTGTTCCGTAATCCGTAGAATGTACATACTATTATTCTAAAATTATTAAAACTTTATTTTGGAATAATCACACAATAATTAAAAGATACATTAAATTTGTGTTTTATTCTTTCATTTGACAACCAGAAAAATTTAAATACACAACACACACAAAAAAATGTCATAAGGCTATTTTAAGAATACATTTGAATAAATTAAGTTGTTTTTGTGGATTCAATTAATTAGACTCGCTAAAACAGAATTTGTTAACAATAAAACATATGGTGAGAAAAAAATAAAACATTTCATAGGGCATCATAGTGCCCTATCATAGTGATTAGGTGATTTGAAGTTCAAAAGTTCATCAGTCATCATTCACTCTTGTTATATATCAAGTGCTCGGCATCATGGGAGAGTGAGTCAGCAGCACTAATGCCTGCAGTCTCACGCACAAGGTGGCCTCCGCCAGGGTCACATTCCTCCCCGCGGCCACGGTCAACACCTAGACATGGTCAGGCTGAGGTCACCGCGCAGACAGGACACAACATCACCCCTGAGACGGCCATGAACGACGGCAAACACGCCACATCGCATCAGTCTCCCAACAACAACTGTTCTGATAACTCAATTCAGTGTTTCGGGAAATTCTGTTTCCAAATCTCAAAACGGATGTAATTCAGCACTCAATGATTTAAGAAAAACTCAATTAACATAAAACCCATTTGTGCTTGTGATAACAGGCTCTAGAACAGAAACACTCATCAGATAAGCTCTCGGTGACTTAATGGTTAACTCATCAAGATAATTATAGCATCATCGGGAGGGAATTTCATGTACCAGAATCTGGCGCTTCTGATCTAATCGTGTTTGTAAAAGTCCCGGCAGGGGCTCGCTTGATCGACATCACTCACGGCCCAGAGGTGTGGTGTATAAACCTCCACAAACTGCACACCAAATCAGCCACTATCCACCCCAAGAACCAGAGAGGTCAAAAGTAGGGCTGCTCGAATACGGCAAAAATCACAATTATTTTTGTTAATACTGAGATCATGATTATTTAACACTAATTACTAGTTAACTTTGGAAACATTATGCATTTATTTAACTTTTAGGCCTAAAGCTTGTTTTTAAAAAAATGAACTTCCCTAAACTTTCCTGAACAAATGAAAACAAATAAAATAATTTATCAAAATAAATAATATAAATAAAAATAATAAACAAAAATAATATAAAAGTACTATATACTGTATATATATATACACACATACATATATATACATATATATAATGAGAGTATAAATAATATAAATATAAAAATAAAAATAAATAATTTAAATATAAAATATACATATACAAATAAAAGAATAATAAAAACATAAAACAAGTATAAACAATACATAAATAACAAACAATAATAAAAGTATAAATAATACAAATATAATATAAACTAAAATAATAACAAATAATACAATAATACACAAAGTAATATAACATATAAATAATAAATAAACTACATCAAAATAGGTAAGATCAATTTAGTTGTTGTTGTGCTCTGCTGCAAAGGAAAGGCTGTGCTGAATTTATAACACGAAACAAAACAAGAGCATCACTGAAGCACAGTGTTTTTTATTAGCTGCATGGAACCAATAGAGTTGAACAGCAGTGTTTGGTTTTTCAATAGCTGGATAAACAATTAGGCTACCTGACAAAACCTCCAGCAAGACTGCATGTGATGCAGAAATATTAAACTTTCATATAAAGGACTGCATTCTATAGAACATTCCTTTTTGTTGTGAAATGGCGAAATCTCGTGAAGGATTCTTCAAATCATGTGTCTTGTTAATCAAACTGACCCTGTCTGGGCACAATTGTATTGTTAAAGTTATTGTGCTTGCAATTGGCCAAATCCAAACAAAAATCAAAAAATCTTCTAAAGCAGGCATTATTTTCTTCATAAAATGTCTCATCTTTCTCTTTTGGTTTTAGAGTAGAATATGACTTGTTTTCAAGCTATTTATTTTTTTATTGTTAGGAATGTTTACTTTTACTTGGCTGGTCAAATTATGTTTTATATTTTCTAAAACTTTGTGACTTTGGTCTGGGGTTATTAATCTAGACTAAAACCATTAAATTAAAAAATCATTACTTGGAAAAAAATAAACATTAACAGAAATAAATGTAATCATCTAGTTGCCAGGGCAGCATTTCTCAATTTCATTTAGTTTATCTTGATTTACAGAAATAATTAAAACGGAACTTTATCAAATAAAATTGAAATTTTTAAAAAAAATAAATAAAAACTAATCTAAAAAACACACACCTACATTTCTAAAATTTTAAACTGAAATAATATTGGAAAATATGAAAAATAAAATCTAATTTAAAATATGAATATTACCTATAAAAGTCTCTCAGTGATACTAAGATAAACCTGATTTGTTTGGCCGAGGAAGAAGTGAGTCAGTCGCACCGAATGAATCTTTGAGACAGAAACTTGAGCCGCTCTATAATGAGGATTAACAGCGTGTTCAGTGTGATCTGTGTGTTACAGTCAGCTGAACGTGTTAATTAGTCACCGCTGGATTAGTTCTTCCTAACACTCACCTGAAAACTTGTTTTTCAGCTGCCAAGGTAAGTGTGGCATTAATGGTTGCTTCACGAGATTTCGCCATTTCACAACAAAAAGGAATGTTCTATAGAATGCAGTCCTTTATATGAAAGTTTAATATTTCTGCATCACATGCAGTCTTGCTGGAGGTTTTGTCAGGTAGCCTAATTGTTTATCCAGCTATTGAAAAACCAAACACTGCTGTTCAACTCTATTGGTTCCATGCAGCTAATATAAAACACTGTGCCTCAGTGATGCTCTTGTTTTGTTTCGTGTTATAAATTCAGCACAGCCTTTCCTTTGCAGCAGAGCACAACAACAACTAAATTGATCTTACCTATTTTGATGTAGTTTATTTATTATTTATATGTTATATTACTTTGTGTATTATTGTATTATTTGTTATTATTTTAGTTTATATTATATTTGTATTATTTATACTTTTATTATTGTTTGTTATTTATGTATTGTTTATACTTGTTTTATGTTTTTATTATTCTTTTATTTGTATATGTATATTTTATATTTAAATTATTTATTTTTATTTTTATATTTATATTATTTATACTCTCATTATATATATGTATATATATGTATGTGTGTATATATATATACAGTATATAGTACTTTTATATTATTTTTGTTTATTATTTTTATTTATATTATTTATTTTGATAAATTATTTTATTTGTTTTCATTTGTTCAGGAAAGTTTAGGGAAGTTCATTTTTTTAAAAACAAGCTTTAGGCCTAAAAGTTAAATAAATGCATAATGTTTCCAAAGTTAACTAGTAATTAGTGTTAAATAATCATGATCTCAGTATTAACAAAAATAATTGTGATTTTTGCCGTATTCGAGCAGCCCTACTTTTGACCTCTCTGGTTCTTGGGGTGGATAGTGGCTGATTTGGTGTGCAGTTTGTGGAGGTTTATACACCACACCTCTGGGCCGTGAGTGATGTCGATCAAGCGAGCCCCTGCCGGGACTTTTACAAACACGATTAGATCAGAAGCGCCAGATTCTGGTACATGAAATTCCCTCCCGATGATGCTATAATTATCTTGATGAGTTAACCATTAAGTCACCGAGAGCTTATCTGATGAGTGTTTCTGTTCTAGAGCCTGTTATCACAAGCACAAATGGGTTTTATGTTAATTGAGTTTTTCTTAAATCATTGAGTGCTGAATTACATCCGTTTTGAGATTTGGAAACAGAATTTCCCGAAACACTGAATTGAGTTATCAGAACAGTTGTTGTTGGGAGACTGATGCGATGTGGCGTGTTTGCCGTCGTTCATGGCCGTCTCAGGGGTGATGTTGTGTCCTGTCTGCGCGGTGACCTCAGCCTGACCATGTCTAGGTGTTGACCGTGGCCGCGGGGAGGAA